TGCGTGGTTTAAATGGTAAGCAGTCTACATTGAAGAAGAATTTCTGAAGGATGGAAAGCAACAGAAGAGAAATAAAGTTGATAATGTAAATGCTGTCTCCAAGCTGCAGTATAGTGTGTGTTTACATTATTTGCAAAAAAAAAAAAAAAAGATATAAAGAGAGAAATACTAGACCAAGAATTCGCAGTCACTAACAAGAGAGTGCTGTTAGTTTAACACGTTTCTATCCCAACTGTTTATGTCTGTTCTACTGTGAGTTTTCTTCCAATCATCAACATAAGAACTTGTGCTTGACACAGCTTGTGTTTTCAGATTCTGGTTTAACGATTTAAGCTTGCCTGTATCAGCACTGCAATACCTTTGTTTTTGTACTATGTTAATATGTAAAAGGCCACACGAAAATTAGTTTTAAATTAATCTCTTAATTCACATTATACTGTTCCCTTCACATTGACTGAGAAAGCTTTTGTGCGTGTATGTGTGTAATCTGTTTTTTCTTCTTTTTTTTTTTCTTTTTTTTTTTCCTGGTGAGCACTGAGAAAGAAAACCCCATTCTTTGTTTACTGCTGTTTTTCACAGAAAATGGGTCTTTGTTTGATACTTTCATATTCTTCCTCCTTTGGGGAATTTCTGTTGGGAAAGCTATTCTTTCTGATACAGCAGGGTTCTGGCAATAGGCCTCAGCACACCCTTGCTCTTATTAGTATAAGTTAGGCCTGCTGTTCTCAGGGCAGAACTTTGTAGTCCTAGAAGTAAGAATGGAAATGTATGAAAAATTGCCTTTTGAGGCTTCATCTACTGTAATAACATTAAATAATAAATATTTAATGCTCTATAACTTCCTTTACTTTACAATATACAAGAGAAAAGGGAAAAAACGGAACCATTTTAGATCTCTATGAGACATCTTCATATGACGCTGATTTTGCTGTCATGTGAAATTAGCTGTGATTATCCATGCTCCAATTTTGATGAGCATAAATTCTGCATGGCAGCCTTATTGAGAACCTCAGTAAGCTGTAATTAATGAAGAATGCAGCAGCTGGCTTGCTAATGTTATTAACTACAACAAATGAAATACTTACTTTAATATTTGTTTCTACACATAAATAGAGGGTTTAGGATTTCTAATTTTTTTTCTTTGGGAGGGAGGTTATGTTTAATACTTTCAGTGCAAGTATTTTGTGGTTAGTTACTTCTATTTCAGATTAATGTAGCCTTTTCTGATGTAACTCACCAGTATAACAAAATGCCCTCAAATTTAAATAAGTTGAAGTGACCATACTGCCTTAAGAGTATAAAATTCTTAAATACAGATACATACTGCATATTTCCACTGTAGCAGTTAAGTGTGACAAGTGAGTAATTCAGGAATTTTCAGTTCAGTCTTTCTACCCGACCCCATAATTAGGTTTCCATTGAATGTCAGTTTACTAAACAGTTTCCACCATGGCTTTTTCCCATCAAGCTGAGTGCACTCTGACTTTTTAAGCAGAGCGGTGTGAAATTGTGGGGCAAAGTATTTTCTTATAAAGGTATCTCCAGTGTGAAGTGAAATTCCTGGTGTTGATCTTCTGATGATAGAGACCATCTCTTTATTCAGTTTTCTCCTCCATGAGTGGTTTCTGGTGTTACTTCATTACTAGGTCTTTGGGTTGATCGTATTGAATTTTCATTTTAGTTAGGGGATTATTCTTTCTGCTATGATTGGCATCTTGCAAAGCTCGTTTTGTAAGTTGTAATAAAGAAATAGAATGTTGAAACAGGAATTTATTTCTTCTGTAGTCCATCTCTCATATAACATAAGGTTCAGCACTGCAGTAGTGCTAGTCTTCATAAATACCATCAAGGATGGAAAAAAAACCATACTGAAATCAGCAGTGTTCCTATATGTATTTGATACTCTGGAAAGGAGTTTTGATATGTTTCTTGGTTGACTTTTTTTTTTTCTTCTTAATTCTAGCTGGTTTTTGTTACAAGTTTTAACAAAAGTATTTGGGCTTTTTTCCTCCCATTGAGTTTATGAATTACCTTGGCACTCTCAGTCACATTGTAAAACCAACGTACATGAATATCTCTGATTTTTCTAAATTATTTTCTTATTGAATTTTGGCAATATGTCATGGGGAAATTAAGCTGCAGCCTAGGTTGTTTCGGGAGAAGAAAATCTCAGTCACAAACTTAGAAATTTTTCAAATATGGTTTGCATTCTGTGCCAAGCATGCCCTTTCATAATTTCTTTTTTGAGAGGACATGCAAATGTTAACCATTATCCTTGGCATAATAGCAGAAGCTAGTCATCAGTAAATGTAAGGTTTGATTGCTCTGGTCTTTTTCAAAAGAAACGATAGTTAACAACTCTTCCAGGAAATACTGACTGACTGACTAAGAGAGGTGTAGGTGTATGTCTCAGGGCTGAGCCACAATAACTGACTAAAAATACTTGATTTCCTATGATTCCTTGTTACTCTCCTATGACTGAGTTGAAAAAAGGTCCTTTAGAAAAAGAACAGTGTTACTTGGCCTCATGATTTTACATTACCTTTGCTCTGCCACATGCATGTCCCTCTGAGTAGGCAAGTAAAGGCAAGATTTGCTAGGGAGTTCTCTGGAATTCTTGTTGTCCATGGGTTTCTTGTTCCTCTTGAACACCTAGACCCAACTTTGTTCAGTGCAGGGCTGTTTTATGTATTTTTCTGGTTCAATTCTTGCTGATGTATACTCTTGCAACAGTCGTTGGTTGTTGGGAAGCCCAGCTGGTTCTGGACTCTCTGTAAGCTGAAATCTTGAAGATGGAACTTCTTACACCTGGCAGAGGGTTAACCAGGGACAGTAGGACTGTAACACAGAGTGGGTTTCCTGTTAGGAATGTCAGCCTATTGTGTTAGGACATGTGGCTCTGTGTCCAATCATAAGTTGTTATGATAGTAGTAAACCAATGCTGTTTGTACATGTGTCACCACAGAACTGTATAAAGGTAGCTGCACTGTTGCAAAAAAAAAGCTGCTGGTATCCTGAAACCCATGTCGCATCCCGCCTCAACCGCGACAGTTGGTTGGAGGAAAACAGTTTAATATGCATTCTTCTGGTTGAGAACTAAGAATCAAAGATAGGTGACTAGCTCTGAAGATACTGTTATTGCCGAGGAGAAGGCAATATCCATCTCTTAAAAGAAATGAAATGAATACCAAAAGCCAATTTGGCTCTCCTTTACTTCCAGAAGGGTTTTTCTCGCTTCGTCTCTTTTGCTAGGAGGGCAACTACAGCCTGTGTGCAGTGTTTTGATTAGAAAGAATGGGTTAGAGTTTTAACTGTAGATGTCCTATATGAATTCCGTAAATCTTTTACAGCACTATTTTACATAATTCTGTGCTCGAGATTTTATATATTCCATATATTTAATTTCATTTTTATGTGTATTTGTAGAGATAAATATAATAAACTGTTTGAGTCAGGAATAGGATAAGTAAAAGGATATTCATCTTGTAAATTCTGTTGTCATTTGTTTCTGTGCCACAAGCAGATATACCTTATCTAATCTATATTAGGAAAAAGAAAATGTATTGTCAGTATTCTTTTTTTTTGTGCTTATTCTCAGTTGTGTTTTTTCCCCTCCTCCTGTGATTCTTTAGTGTCCCCTTGATTTATTTTGTTAACATCTCTGCAAATGAAGTAGCCGTGTTAGGTTTTTTCATTTGTAAAAATGAAAATCTTGCTACTGCATAAATTCATATGTTGTTTTCACAATCCTTGAACTGCTAAATCACTTAAATTACTATGAAATGACATTCAGAAGGCTTGTATATTAAGTGAGGAGCTGAACCAAACTCATCCAAAAGAAATACTAGGCACAGCGATGGTTCTGAACTCTTGGCCTTCTCAGGCCGTTGGGTACTAGCTGCAGCTACCTTAGGTATCTTGGCTCAGGTTCAGAACTTGTTTGTCTTCTGAGGATAATAGCCTAAATAAGCATTTAAAATTACAAAAATTGTGCTTTACAGGGTATATGCCTGTCATTGTTTCCCACCATTTGCCTACTAAATAATTGTAATAGCATCTCTCAGGAACCAGGAAGCCATAAATCTGAAACCAGTTGGTGGAGTTTGAACTTTCACTTGCTGTTTTCCAGAAATGTACCATAGCAAGTGGGTTAAGGGGCTAGTGTGTGATTAGAAATCCTCTTCTCTTTGTCTTGAGAATGATCTGCAATGCATCCTGGAATGCAAAACTTGGAAAGATGGTGAGAGCATGCAAGCACTCTATCAGTATAGCTGTGACATCCAGCTTAGAAGCACAATATATTATGCCTGTATAGCTTTCCAGGTTTTAATTTGGTTTTGAAAAGTAAAGAGGATGCTTCTGTGTGCCAGACTGTCTTATGGAGACTGAATTACTGAAATGAGAATAGTTTCTCCCTAAGGAAGATTTTGTCAGTTGTTTGTAAAGAACATATTGCAAGAGAATAAAATACTTACTGCATTTCATTATTCAGAAGAGCAGTAGGTCTTTGAGAAATCTGTAAATATCTGCATTAAAAGACAGTTTGCTTTGCTGGTGGTTGGAGCGGGTAATTTTATGTATGAAAGCTGTGCTGTCTGCTGACTATTGTAATAGAAAAGGACTTTTCTTTTGCACAAATAATCATATATAGTAGCAAATCCTATGTCCAAAGCCTCTAAAAATCTAGTCTTCTGAAATAACAAAAGAATAAAAGGTTATAAAATAAATGAGAAAAAAGATTACTTTTTAGATGCTGTTACTTCTAGAACTATTCCTTAGAAGGTGCAAATATGTTTGCATATACAGTTGTAGGATCTCCAGTATCAAATCCGGCTTTTAGTAATCAGAACAAAGGTACATTTCAAATGCCTGGACCTTGAAGGAAAATAACCTACTAATATCTGGCAGCTTGGTACATCTTGTATTGTATTTGACACATCACTTTGCAGAGTTGTCTGCTTGTTTGTGATTTTTTTTTTTCTTCTGTAATGTATTTTCAGGTTGGATGAGTTAATTGAAACATTTCTCAAAGATAATGATCCTGATAGCACTCTGGATGTTGGTGCTGACATGCGCAAGATCAAGTATTGCTTCATTCGTATGAAGGTATTTTAGGTATTTTTTTTAAACATAGATGGAAGTGCAGCTGGCACTCTGAAAATAACTTGAAGACATTCATAGTTGAAAAGTGTTAAAAGAAATGCAATACAGTTGAGAGGTGCTGGAAAAGGGTAAAAACTCTCAACTTTGAAGTGCCTGGAGGACTGATAGAAATTTTAAGTTTAGTTTGAAAAATTCACCAGCGTTTTGTGGAAACCTCAGCAAGGATCTCAGCCTGCATTAAATTGTAATAGAGCACTGGTACTTATTGGAATCAACACAGACTAGTTATTTGTATATGGCTCGATGTTCATGTCTGTATTTCCAGCACTATGGAGGCTTTATTTTGGACAAATTATGTTGAAAGATAAAAAAATGTAGATTAAAACTGCTAAATCCCTGAATCTGTTACACTAACCCTCCTGAAGGTGTTGCAAGCCCTTCTGAATCATTGAGCAAACAAGATATGATTGTTAATTGTGAAATTAGTAGGGAAAGGTATAGAAGATAATACTTCTCTGTATTTTGGGATAGAGTTTTTCCAATAAAACAGTGTATGCATTCATTATATTCATTTTTTGTCCTTAAATAATTATTTTTAGTTATATTGTTAATATTGAAATTTCTGTGATACCAGAGAACACTGGAATTTATGTCTAGAAAGAGTAAAGTAAACTGTATGCTTGGTAGTGAAGATTAACAAATACAATTTATTCCCTACTTGACACAATGGGTATAAGCTGACAGTAAACTGATGGCATGATTTTGTTCTGTCAAGAGCATAGAAAGGCTTCCCCTTTCTTACTATAGCTAGACCATCTCAGAGTAGAATACTACTGAACTGGAGGTAAAGTTAAAAGTATGCTTTTTTTGTTTCTCCTCATAGCAACTTGTGAATCATCCCACAATTTCTGATAAAAAACTGCTCTCACAAGACATCTCTGAAGAAGAAGATGCTAACAAAGAATCAGGAGAAGAAGAACAGGAAAAACTTAAACACCTTCTGCAGCAAAGAGATGATGAAATCAGTATCCTTTGTGAGGAAAAAAAATATTATTTTGTTTTGAGGTGATCTGGCTTACAATGGGTTTTGTGTGTGTGAGATAGGCTGTATGGAAGCTGACCCCACTGTGTTAAAGCAAATACTCCATTCCCAACTTTTGTGTGACAGGACTTCTGCTTTTCACCTGCATCTCTTTCAGTCGTTACCCAAATCAAAATCCTGGATCCAAGCACCACTTAGCTTTAGAATGGTCCACCCAATATCCAAATACTGTGGCTCAGGTCACACCTAAAACACTCTCCTCAAGCAAATTAAACCATTTTTTAGAGGGGGAAACTCTCATGCAATATAAAAACCAATTTATTACCTTACAAAGAATAGAATTTCCTTTGTGTGTTATTTTTAGCCAAATGAGGTGCTACTTTGGGGACTATTGGGCTATATGCCTTTAGAACAAATATAAATGCTGTACTTTTTACATTTAAATTTAAAATTTAAAGCTAAAGCTTTTTGGACATGAAAATACTAAACTGCTCAGATGTGCTTTGTCCATTTCACTACCTCACAAGAAACATGAGTAGCTGTGCTGTAGCATAGTGGGTGGGAGTTATTTTTAGCAGGGTGACAGAACTGTGGGCAAACTGCAACGTTGCTGTGTCCCTAACTTCGTGGCTGCTCAGTGGGTAAAATTTAGATATGGCAGAGAAAAGAAAATATGGGTTTGCTAAGTTTGAAGATAACAGAGATTCTCTCACAGATACTAGCAAAGAGCAAACTCAGTTGTGTTCTTTGTGCTGAACAATTCCTGATCAATTTCAAATATCAAATGAAAATAGTATTTTTCGTTGAGGTGTAGCGTGCTACCAGTCTGAATTGGAGGTGGCGGGAAAGCTTCTCTAAATCTACTCTGTCACAGATGATAATATTTTCTTTCTCCATGATGCGAGTTCAAATAAATTTATCTAAACCACTGACTCATTCCTTTCAAAAAAGACTTCAATTTTGTGTCCATTTTAATATCTGAATTCCCAGAAATATTTCTTCCTGAAATGAATTATTTCATTAGTATGAGAAAGGAAGCAAAAGATCTCTATCAAATGCACTTGTGCTCAATAGATTTACACAGCTTTGTTTGTACAAGGAGGAAACTTGTGTTAGAATTATACAGGAAGAATATAAGAATTAAGACTTTGAAGACAAGACTGATTTAGAGAGTCACTAAGTGACTGTACATCATCACATTAATAACATGTCTGATGGGATGAAGTGGTGGGAAGTATGGAAGCTGTTTAGTTAATAAACTATGAGTTCCTTCTTGCCTACAGTAACTAGAACCTATCATAACAACTGAATTGGAAAGTGGTTTACTATTACTACCTAGTCAAGTTAATAATATTCCCTAAAGACTACTTAGATTTTCCACTGGTCATTTAGAAGGTTAATTAGGATTAAAATGAATAACATATCAAAAGCATGTCACAGGGACTTCTGTGGTTTCATCTGAACACACACATGATTTCTATTGTATGCCCTCTATGAACTGTTAGGCAAAATGTATTTATACCAAATTTACTTCCAGTAAATGCATAGTGTTATTGCAAGAAATTTCTTAAAGACCTTTCTGCATTTTAATAAACCTTCACAGTCAAGAGTTTTTTTCCTTTTGTTTGGAAGTCATGTTTATTACAAACGTGATCCTAAACTCTTCCTGTTTGTATGGAAATGCTTTTATCAAGAGTTGATTGAATGGGATCAACAATTTGTGGTCAACATATGAATTTGTTAGTGTCTAGTAAAAATGAATCTGCTGTTTGGAAAAACTAAGGTGGATGATTGTTGTTATATATATATTAAAAAAAATAAATTCTTAATTATTTCCTTAATGTATCTTGCAGATATTCTGATAAATATGCTAAAAAAAGAAAAAAAGAAAGCACAAGATGCTGTTTCCCAGCTTAATGCCACGTCTGCTTGTTCTTCAGTCTTGGAGCAATCTGTTTCTATAAACTTGGAAGATAGGCAGAGCCCATCTAGCTGTTTTAGTCTGAAAGAGGCAAAAGATTTCAGCTCTTCTATTCACAGACTACCTTTTCTTTCCAGGCAAACAGGTTAGTGTAATTAATTAAGTGAATATTTATTGGATTATTCCAAGATGATTTACAGCATATCATTCAAATGTGAACCAAAACAGGAAAGCTTTATTTTCAATATCAGTCATATTGTGCTAATTCTGTATCCACAAATAAAGGGTTTTAAATTTAAAGCTCTCTCAAGGTGCTGATGGCTTTTACAAACTGATGTGAATACTCTGTGGGACAGCCCTACAAAACCAGAGTATAAATTTGGTTGCAGACCCTTGAATCTTCGAGTAAGTTCTCAGAAAAAAAGATCCTTTTGAGCATAGCTCATTAAAAAACGTTGAAATATTTTAGGTGGGCATATGTCTCTGCATTCCTTCAGAGTGGCCTGACATTCTGCTACCAGTTGAATAATGTTGGCAGCATTTGCACTTACCATCTTTTGTAACGTATAGCTGATAGCTATTATAATGATAATGCCTTATAATGTTATGTCTTAAAATGCTTGTGTTATTCTGCTCAGGGAATACTTAGAATGGCAGACCTAAAAAAGTAATAGAAACACTAATACTACACATACAGCCTTGCCAGTGTGCCTTAAACCCAAACTCAGGAGACCAATTGTCTCTACAAGAATATAACTGAGTGTTCGAGCTCTTTCATGTATTTCATGTGTCATGTGTTTTTCATGTGTCTCTGAAAATGACAGTATTTTCTCCCTAATATAGAAGTAATTTTGTCTTTCACTTTCTATTTTTTATTTCTTAAAGTTCTGAAAGTAACAAACCTCAATATTTATCTTCATATTGTAACTAGCATTTGTATTTAAAAGTTCTTGTAGACTAGAGACATAAGTATTTTTGAATTCAGCTTTTTTAGTTTGAGAAAAATTCGCTGTGTAACACTTGTAAACATATGCAGATAGTTCAGTGTTGAAAAAGGTCTCACTGTGTACCTATACACAGTATGTGTAAAGCCATCATATCTGATGTTAAGCTGTGCTAGGAGAGGAATTTTAATGACACCTAAATAAATTCATTTTTAGAAATATTAGAGCTTTGTAGTCTTTAAAATTGAATTTGAATAATAATAATAATACTAACAACAACAAGAATGGATCATGACCCCAAAATTATCAAAATGAAAGAAGTATTTAAGTACAAGAACTAATTGGTAAAATAAGGCCAAAAGGCTCAAGTAAAAGAAAAAAGGAAAAAAGTTCTGTGAGTTAGTATAAAGGAAGCCCATACTAGGACAAGCAGCCTATGCACTGATTTAAAAAAAAAAAAAAAGTACAAATCAATATCACATGAAGAAAAAGTCTGTAACCAAGAAGCATTCAGTTTCTTTTGCAGGCAAGTTACTGTTTTGAGACCCTTAGTTGAAAAATACTGTAAGCCTCAAGCTGTTATTACTCTTTTTCTCTTTTATTATAAAGCTTCGACAGTGCAAAGATACATTGGTACATTCCTTGGCAGGCTAAAACTCTTTTTTCTGTCTGCTAATGGCTAGGATGTAGTTCTCTTTCCTGTTGAACTCAGACCTGAACACATTTGTATGCCTCAGACTTGATTAATCCCATTTGTTCTAAGAATGAAGCACAATGTCTTGAAAGAACACCATCTGGTGAAAAACATGGTTGTCAACTTACGTAGCAAAATAAGTTATTTGCAAATATGTAATTTTAATACTCTGATATCCACCAGATGAATCTCTTGACTTCAGTTTTTCCTTTTAACCTTCAAATTTCTGTATGGGTTTGAAAAGCTTTCTCATCATGGTTTTTGACAGGCTACTGCAATGATGGAATAAATTGCCAACTGGTTGGGGAGGCTTGTGAAAGAGTGGGAAAGAAGTCTGAGAGGGACAATTGCAAAAGCATTAAATGTTCTTCTCAGGAGTTACGTTTTACCTCAGGCCTCATCAGAGCTCATAACTAATTCTTCTAATATTGTCTTGCACACTTCAATTAATATGGCTATTAATTCAGCAAAATCCAAAGGCTTATGTATTCTACCCCAAAAGTTTTAAATACTAAATCATGGGATTAAATATTCAAATCATTAGTTTCCAGAAGAGCAAGTTTTAAAAGATATGTAGTTGTAAGTAATGCAGCATTCTGGGAATGCAGCCATTCCCAGAACCTGATCTTACAAGATTTCAGGGATCTATTTCACTCATTTGTATGAGTGATACCACAGGATTTAAGAATGTCTATAAATCATTGTAGAAGCAGTTCAAACAATGGAAATAATATTAAACAGTTAGCATGGATTGCGTACGTAGGGCAGTTTTATAGTGGTTATTTGAAAAGGGTTAAATGCTAACCATTGCAGTTTTCTTTCCTTACATCATCTGAGCTGGGTATTTATGACAATAAGTAACAATATTCTTGCAAGTTGTTAATTTCAAAATCCACTTAAAACAACTTCCAGTAACTGTAGACAGATTTTTCTTGCGTAGTTGCATATTGTCTTTTTTTTCTAGTTGAATTGTTCAAATAAAAAGTTTTTTTGGTGTCAGTAGGTTCTAAAAGTGCTTATGTTTTTGTTAGCAAAGAACATGCCTCATCCTAGATTATCACGTGTAACTATTACATGTTCATTGTTTGCATTTCTTTTTTGTACATTTTGTGAGGGGGTTTTAAACTGAAAGAAGAGAGAATCTTTAGCTTGAATTTCAGACATGGCAGCTGGCAAGTAGAAACTTAGATTTTGCTAGTGTACTAGTGGGAATGCTTTTCTTAAACTAGTTAAGGTTGTCAGTTATACTCTAAAATTGCTTTGTAATTGAATTAGGAGTCAATTGTCACACTATTGTTTCAGTTACTCAGCTACTGAGGAAATCCCTTTGCCTTCAACTTTTCCTATTTAAAATGCTCCTTCTCATTTTATAGGAAGAATTTATTTGATTTGGTATCACAGTAGTATTAGCTAAATATATCATAACATAAAGCTTTTGATTACCTCAGAAATATGTAAGCAAAAAGTAGATATGTTGCATCCACAAATGACTAACATAATTGCTTCTTTTATATAGTGCCATTTGTCCTTTAGCCTTTAAAGAACAATTTGCAAGCAGTAGCAAATTCTCAGTTTTGATCAGTGCTTTCTCTTTTTGCAACCATTTGTGTGTGGGTATGTTCAGCCGGTATGTCAGCTCAAACTGACTGGATTGTTGAATCGTATCTCCTGCACTTTCCATTAGCAAGGCCAAGTTGGATGCGGCCCTGAGCTCTAGTGGAAGGTGTCCATGCCTGTGGCAGTGGGGTTGGAACAAGATGATCTTCAAGGTCCTTTTCAACCTAAACTATTCTATGATTCTAAGTTTGGATGAGGTGTCACTCTCACTCAAGCACAGAGACTCATTTTTCGTATATTGAAAACCTGAAAATAATATTCATCATTATAAAGTTATCCATTAATTTAAAAATCTGTATACTGTAATCTGAACTGCATCCATACGTCTTTTTATCTGTAGTCATTAAGGGTTCACTAAAGATTTATGAAAGGGCTTGGGCCTGAGCCAGGATCAAAATCCCAACTAGAAGCTTTAGTGTAATATTAGTGTACATAATAGTGTAATTTTAAAGCTGTTCTTCATAATTTAAACTTTCTGCATACCTTACATTATTTATGAAGATTTCAATTTTCAGTAGCATGAAGGCTTATGTGATATGTTACCTGTTTTAACAGTCTAGCTTTCTTTATTTAATTCTGTACTCTCAAAGCTGTCATTAGCCTGATTTAGTGCAATAAAATTCAATGTTATTTCTAGTGTCTCTAATGTGTTTTCCGTTTTCCTATCTCATTTCCTTATCCTTATACAATTAAATTAGGAAATCAGCAGAAAACATAGGAGAAAAAATATTTACTTTAGTGAAACAGTTGTTAGAAAGTCTATCTAATAATTAGGTAGACTTTTATTTATTTTCCTGTTGATTTGTTGTGCAGCTTTTACTTTATTGATTTGTTGTGTGCCTTTTTTTGCCCAGAAACAGATCTTTACCATTCTGTGTTAGAAAATAGAATAATTTCATCCTGTTACTTTCATGTTAGATTTACTGCTGTTTTTATATTGTAAAATCTCCAAACATATTGACCTGTTACCAAGTCCATCAAAAAAATTTATTTACGCTGCTAAATTTCTGAAAAGTAAATGAATTATAAGAACGCAGACAGTCCTGTGCAGGCAAAGTTTGTTTCTTGGTGTGGTAAAAAATGTATTATCTCAGAGAACTGCTCTTTCTCTATGGTGAAATGTGTTTTTATCATTTTCTCCATATGATCCAGGACCACATCTGCATTGGAAGATACGTGTAATGATGTTTCTAGTCTATCCTATCCAGATATTGCTTTGAGTAGGAGAAATGCAGTCATACTATTTCACTGCTGAGCTTGATGTAATAATCTGTGTTAATGGGAAAATTTTTACCTCATCACAGCAGTAAAACAATTCCTGGTCCAAATTTGTCCCACAGCAGGCTGACTTTGAAGGTGAATGAGTATTGACTTCTACAACTGTACATGTTGTATAGGCACAGCTGTAATTTATCTTTTTTTTAAGTCTATCCTGTATTGAATGTGCATGCTCTTTGAAAAGACACTGAGTGAACATAATACATGTTCAAAGGTTTGACATATGGTAGTATTTACCTTCCTGTACATTCTATCTTTTCCCCACTGCTTGTATGCCTGAAACTCCAAACAGAAGCCTTTAATGGTAACGACTACAGACTGAAAGATCAATAAAGCCTAACACCCCACATTTGGTCTGACATTAGATTGGCTCAGTTGGTGAGAACACCATCAAGGTAATGGGCTCAATGCCTATATGGGCCATTCACTTAGGAGTTGGACTTGATCCTCGTGGGTCCCTTCCAACTTGGAATATTCTGTGATTTCCAATTAGGTTTTTGGGCACCATTACAGCATATTTTTGACTGCTAATAAATACTAAGTTGCAAAGAGTTGATTTCATAGAATCATAGAATAGTTTGGGTTGTAAGGGTCCTTAAAGATCATCTAGTT